AAAAAAATTGGGCTATCATATAAACGGCACATCTAATGATGGTTGACGCAACTATTTTTGCGTTGACACAATGGTTTTGTCAATGGTTTCGTCTGATACAACTTTGACGAATGACGCAACTACTGACGATTGACGCAACTACTGATGCAACTACTAACGAACCCCACCAGGAGCCTAGACACTTTTGCAGTAACGTGATGTGGTACATGAGAAATGGCTAATCGGGATGCGTAAATTTTGATCATCCCAGATCAGCCCAATGTCAAAACAAAACACTGCGCAAGAAGAAAAAAAAAGAAAAAAGCGAAAATACTCAAAAAGAAATGTCAGGAGCGTAATTTTACATATGGGATGATCTTTAAAGGCCTATAACCACGAACCCTAACCGGAAGCATAACATAAAGCCAAAAAACTTATTTGAATGTGCTACAATATGCCACATCACGTTACTGAAAAGTGTCTAGAATATCTAGTAATTAACCCACAAAATTTTTTCCAGTACGTGATTAATGTTACAATTTTACGCCACATCACGCATTTTTCATTTTACTATTAAACGTGATCAGCTAAGTGTTTTTTTGTTTTTTGTTTAGTTCATTTTACGATGGTATTGCTAAAAGTTTCTATAAATATGAACATATACTCGCCCTTCGTCCCATTTCAAAGCTCAATTTCATTTTTAATAATATATTTCGGCTATCATAGCAACTATCCATTTGCCGCTTCCACTTTTTCTAATGACTTCTCCAAATCGACAAAGGCGAGGCCGTTACGCGACTAACGCATGTACTAATTGTAGAAAAAGGCATGTAAAGTGTTCCCAAGGTTCCCAAGGAACTGCCTGCACAAACTGTGCATCGCGCAATCTTATGTGTACTTATACTATACCAAACAAACGAGGACCAAAAGTTTCCAGTGGATCAACTAATGGTTTTGAAAATAGCTTCGGTGAAGCCGAAAGTATCGAACGTGGATATGAATTTGACCTCATTCCTAACTATCGCGACTATATCGAAGAGACTCAGTCGGTCCAAGGAGGTCTTTTTCCTAATCAAATACAATTTAATACTATTATGCCAAATAATGGCATGCCCATTAATATTAGTGACGCATATTCTTTACCTAGCAATTTTTCCTCTTCTTTTCCCTCTATTGCTTCCAATTTAGATCATCCTTTTATGTAGATTCTTTCCTCTTCTTTTCCCTCTATTGCTTCCAATTTAGATCATCCTTTTATTTAGATTCTTTCAGTTAAATTCTATAAACTATGTTTAACATTTCTATGTTTGATATTATTTCCTTTATGCTTTTTTTCTTTTAAGAAACATGAAATGACTAAATAGTGGAACAAGACAATGCTATGATTATTATCTATTTAGTTATTGTAAATGCAAATAAATAAACTTCAAAATATTTAGTTCTATCATTTCCCGTAAAGAAATGTAGTTTATGTAAAAATTAAAGCTCAGAATTAATGATCAAATTATGCAATTTTTTTAAGTCTTTTATATATTAATAATAAATTACTATTGTTATGAACTTATTTAGCAGCAACTAAATAAAAAGATTTTCGATAATATCGCTAAAGCTTTAACGCTAAAATTTGAACAAATTGATTATATTTCATGATATACGTACTTGTTATTGGTCATGCTGATGGATGCCGAGTCATAATCATAACGGTGGCCATAGGCATTTTAGGTAGCGTTCCCACAAAAATTGTTCACCCCGGCAATTTTGACCAACAAATGTGTTTTGTTTTCTAATTTATAGTTAGGGTTGGGATTAGGACGATATAACGCTTATTAGTAAAACATCACGAAGAGCATTTTTAATTAGGCCGCAGAAGGTAGTTTCCTAATTAAAATTTAGAGTTATTCTTGTTTTTTTTTGTAAAAAAGTGGTTTCGTTTCGATTTTTACGTTACACCTGATCCTGAAATTCTTGTGGGCCAGCTATGGGTTTCGCCATAGGCCGTAACGTAGCATTGAGGTTTTCCGAAGATCACGGGACATTTAGTAAAAATATTTATGTATATTCTTATTACGTACAATTAGACCAGTGATTATATGGTCGCAGTGGTTCAATAATAATGAAGAAAATTTAAATTTACAAGTTTTAATGCTTACGTACAGTACGTACGTACGTACGTGCCTGAAGGTTGAATTTGGTAAATAAAAATTCGAAAGTCTTGGCTGCATATTTAATGCGTATGTGAGTCAAAAAAAAATTAGGTAAGTTAATGTCGAAAATTAATATTAATATTTATATATATTACGCGGCCCCTAATTGTTCACCCATGACTTGTTTTATTGATATTTTCACGGTTGATATTTTCACAGCTGATATTTTCAAAGAGTTCTTTTTTTAGATTGTATTATGGTTGTTTGTAAATTATCTATAATTATCTATAAAGAATATAACCAAGAAAGAAAAGAAATTTTATTTTGCGTGAAGAAAAGCCGTGACAATCTTGTGGAAGTACGAGTTATAAAGTCATGGGTGTTAGGATCCGTGTAATAAATCAGTTATTACAGTATTTGTCGTCGACATCGTAAAACACCATTGTGGCTATGCCACAATACAGTCAGACCTCTCTAAGTGCACCCTCCATAAGTGCACACCCTCTCTAAATGCACACTTAAATTCTGGTCCAAATATATCCTTGACCTCTATAAATGCACTTTTTCTTATTATTCTCTAAATGCACGTTGTTAAAGTGTGGTTCCAAGGGTGCGCACTTAGAGAGGTCTGACTGTACTGCAATAATATCTCGACTGATCCGTGAAGTTTAATGATACTATGATAAAACGTGAAATAACTATTACTAATTATATTAATAAATATACAATACCGAATAACAAAATATGCATTTTATCTAGCATAAAGGTTTATTTATTTATTTATTTATTTCATATCTTAAAGTCTCATTCGAAAGAAAAAAAACATAACGATTGTGATTTTTGATTTCTATTACCATATGGGGCGCATCAAACAAATTTTGAGAAAATCACGTTTAAAATTTCGTGTAACAATAACAATGACGATCTATTATTAGTATAACCTGTTGGATCGACATCAATTAGCCAATCACACAGATGACTCTCAGCAAGGATCGACAATCGGATTTCTGAATTCTAATTTTAGATCACGGCTAACCATATATGAGATTTAAAAAAGAAGGCATCGACAAAAATTTTATTATGTAAATCAACATTTTAAATATCAAATTATCTAGAAGAGTGTCTACTTTATACGATCATATGGTTAACTCATTTTTGCAAAAAATGCCATAAGCCGTGTTTTAGTTTGACGCACCCCATATGTAAATGAAATGATCGCTACATGATATAAAAATCTCTACTTTTTTTTTTTTTTTTTTAAGGGTAGCATCTTTTGCCTAAGTCTTTATTACGTATATTATAATTACAAATTATGTAGTAACTATAGTATATAACTAGTAAGACTTCAGCTTAGGACTATTTTATCCACATAAAAATCTCTACTTTCAATAATAATAATAATAGTGATAATAGTAATGATAGTAAATCGAATGAATTTTCTTTTCCACCATGATGAAATTGAAAAAATAACAAGATAGCAAAACTACGAAGAATGATTCCATACGCATGTATATCTCTAATATAGTTCTTAATTCCGTTATGCCAGTTAAAATTTTGATTTTTTTTTTTTATTGTTTATAATTGATTTATGTACATAGATTTCCAAAAAATGAGTGAATAATCTTTGATCAAAATAATCTTGTCTATTTACACACAATATTTAATGCCATTTTTCTATTTTAATGTTGTTCGAGACTAAGGGTCGAAAAAAAATCTAATTCGCTAAAAAAAATTATAATTCTAAAAATGCAAAATAAATATAATATTTTCTGAAAAAAAATATAAAAGAATTATTATTATTATTATCATTCGTCTAGTGTATGTTGAATAATTAATACAATGTTTATTAAAAAATGTTCATAACCGAAATTATTCACCCTTCTATATTTATTGTCCAGTGAATTTATTAAATTACTAAATATTTTCAATTAACATCCCGTCGAGATCGAGATGAGTGTCGATAATTATAATACTGCTTTTTTTATATATTGTTTTTTATGTTTCATTTCAACCATTTATAAAAATAATCGTTCTTTAACTATATCGTTCTGTGATTCATTCATATCGTTTTGTACCGAAAATAACTGCTGCCGATTTTGCTGTTAAGGATAGAATAAAGATGGTTGATTCCTTCGAATTTCAACAGCATCAGATAATACTTCATAGCAACTAATATCAAAATACATCGAAATTGATGTTGTTCTTTTAAAATTCAATATGAAATTATCACGTAGCCAAGGAACATCTCCCATAAATTTACGAACGAATGCGTAAATTTTATGAAGGAACGTATCCATTGGACCTATATCGATACTGCTTCGATTACTATTGCCACTATGTTGATCGTCATCATCAAATTGATTTAAATCATTATAAGGTTTAAAATCACCAGTTTTTTGATCGAAATTGTTGATATGCAACATAAAATTGACCTTATTGTTCGTATTCAATCATTAGTAATTTTAATCTTTCATCTGGATCCAAAACGTAAGATTGATCAGCCTCCCCATTCTTGACTCAACACTATAATTTTTTCACGAATCCATAATTGTAATTGAGACACCATTTTGTGGTATCATGGGGCCTGCTCCTTTTGTCACGGTTTGATGAATAGGAATAAGTTGCGGATTATTTGCGTTAAACTATTTACCGCGCATAATTGGAACATAATTATTTATCAAAACTAAAAATTAATAATAATAAATAAATAAATATTTATATAATCATTCAACGTTCAAAGATAAAGTTTAAAATACAAGCCTGGAGAAGCTGGCAGCAAAAAAATTAAGAAGGGTATTTTGATTAATAAGAGGAGACGATTGAGAAAAAATTTGTTGACGTTTCTGCGGTAAGGTTGTACCAAATTTGGCAAAGTAGCGATTTGAGTTAGTTGTGGAGTTTGAAATCGTGGAGGAACGTATTAAGTGCCAGGAACCAAAGCCATAAGCATAGTGAGATTGTCGACATTTAAACTAAGGAAGGTGCCGTCGTTAAGAAAGATCCATATTCATTCTATTATGAAAAAAAGAAAATCCGATTAAAAGGTAAGAGAATGTTTTATTCTTTTTAATTCGGAATTTAAGAGTAATAATTTTTTTTTGACTTTGGATCCAGTGTTATTGTCGTATGGCTTTTATTGCTTCATCTTCGGGAATTGTTGCTTGCATATCTTCCGGAGGCGAATAAGATATTAGTAACATCGATGTTTGGACTTCAAACATGTCGCCATGATGGAGTCTTTCTATCACAATTTTCTTGCAAGACAACATGAATGGTTTGGGTGTCCTAGATTGCTGGACATCGGTAATGGAGAATGAGGAGGAGTACAATAAAGAGTTGGTTTGGGATGATGGTTCATTTAAGCAGTGATATCGGTACAATGGGTCCAATACTCAATTAATTATTCAATTAGTTTTACGTATGAAAATGTTTATATTAAAATTTTAACTAGAGACCAAAAAACTATTCAATAACATATAATCATTTATTAAAGTTATCCAATATACAGTAAGACACTGCTCAGGGAATTGCGAATCTTGGTATTGTTGACAGAAAATCTCCCTTTTTGCGGCGTTCTTGCGTTATATTTATAGGAAATATATATATCACCGATCTGCGAATTAGTGATTTAATGAATTTAATTAAACTGCCATTATACGTTGTGTAATGTAAAATATGATTTACTGAATTTACAGTAATGGCGAATTAGTGATTTAATAAATTTAATAAAATCTGCCATTATACGTTGTGTAATGTAAAATATGATTTACTGAATTTACAGTAATGGCGAATTAGTGATTTAATGAATTTAATAAAATCTGCCATTATACGTTGTGTAATGTAAAATATGATTCACTGAATTTACAGTAATTGCGAATTAGTGATTTAATGAATTTAATAAAATCTGCCATTATAAGGTAAATGTGGGTATTTTGACGAAGCTAACACTTCTCACTAACAAAGTCTGTCAAAAACTAGAGTTTTATTTTTTTTGCTTTTGAACTATGTAAATTT